GTCAAACAGTTTGTTTTCTTTGTACCCCAACACTTGGAACATTGAAAAGTCTTGATTTTGCAATTATCATGCTTACGTGATCTATAGGATTGAAGAAATGCCATTGGCTAGACTAATCACGAGATAGAATGTGATTGGCTACCAAAATAAACAAGCAATGGCTTATCAATGTTGTTCAAATTTTGTTTTCGAAGATGAAGTGCAAATCAATGCTTGAAAACCGTGTTTTTTCTTTTTTTTTTGCTTAAATACGTCCATTGCTTCAATTTGGCATTGTTAATTTCTTTATTTGCCCATTCAGGGATAAATTCAGGTAAATATTCAAATAAATTCGCCACTCGTTTATCATTTGAAAACAAGAAATTTCCTGTGATGTCAATTCCGTGCGTCTGTCCTTTTACAGATCATAGCTATCGACCAATGAAATTGCTAAAATTCTTCAGGTTATTTTATAAATTACTGTAAATTATTAGCGCACGGCTTGTGGTCAAAAACATGGCGGATTTTGGTTGTCAAAGTCAGCGGAAAGACGCGGTCTCATGAAATAAAAATTTTGTCACCCTCCCCGGTTTGACCACCACGATCGTGAGAATAGAAAATATCAAAATTATTTATGAAAAAAAACATTTTTAAAATTTTGTTTAATAAACAATTTGCACACTTCCGTGGTATGCGAATGCCAAAATAGCGACAGAAAAAGGAAACATTTCATGACTCCGGTAAGTAGCATGGTATTGTTTATCATTTAAAGTGTTCAGTAATGTGACTATTTTGTTTTTAACACGATTCTTGAGTAGTGTTTCTACTACTAAGTTATAATTTAGGTTATGTTTGTCCAGTCTTGTTTGTTCTTTACTTTATCGCTTACCAGACGAGGCAAAGCAGCCAATTCTTATCGAGTTTCACATCTATCTTGCATCATGATCAAGCTATACTCTCCTCATGTAAATTGAGTTTACCTCCCAAAATTTGTTCGTATTTTTTTTGGAAAATCTGAAGGAAAAGTTAAAAACCAACTGTGTTGAAATTGAATGCAGTGCCATGCAAAATTATTGAACACTGTGGTATATGCCTTATAATAAAAATAATTGAATTAAACTGCTTGCCTGCTCAATTTAGTTGACTGTAGACGATCATATTAATGAGATTGCAAAGTTGGATTTATGCAAACAGTTTTAAAGTACCACTTAGTGTTTCTCTGTAAATGAAGTTTTTATTGTTATAGTAAACAGGATAATACTTCAACAAAACCAAGATAAAAGAAGTGTGTTGAGCAATGTGTTAAGATTTGCTCCTACCTTGAAATTTTTGTTCAATAATAACTTATGATTATATCATTTACATGCATGAAAAATTAAACATATTGCTTCATCTGACAAAATCCATACTTGGTATAGTTCCAGTTGATCCTAAAATTCACATGGGATGCATTGGTTGCAATGAAGGTGACAGCAGAAGAAGCAAAAATAGATGGCAAAGAACTTCTTTGTGTCTTATGAAGAATTAGTAGAAATTAATAAAAAGAATACTCAAAACACATTTAAATTGCTCATGGTCAAGCAATCTAGTCAAAGAAGCAAACTCTGTCTTCAATATTTGACCTTTCCAATTATGTTAGTTAAACTAAATTAGTTTCCTTGTACAAAATACTATTTTAGAGAAACTTGATTATTTCGTCTTTCATGAATATTTTTTACCAAGAGATAAAAGGAACACATTCAAGACATGATGTAAAATACAAATATTCATTAAGTTGTTTGTCATTTAATTTCTCATTGTTAGTTTGTACATACAAATATTAAATATTGGTAGCTGTAAATTTTTCGAGCATAAGAGAAGAGTAATAGTACTTGAAGGGGTTAGCACTTTTGAAAAATTACATCTTGTTCTTGACATACATTACACAATCCCAAAAGATTACAAGTAATGCAAAATAATACCTAAATTTCTTTACCTACACTACCAACTATTTTTGCCTTCATGCAACAAGAGACAGAGTGTTTTTGTCAACAAACCAATGTACTTTAGTTTCCAAGTTTGTAATTTCAATGGAAAGTTAATGTAGTTCTGTTCATTAGTGGATACAATCATCCAAGGTTGTGCCAAGTAGTTTACAAACAAATCAGAAATTTCCAATCAACAGCATCATAGTATTTTGATTTTTTCTTCTTTTTTGTAGCTCTTTTAGTCAAAAAGTTTTCAGTAGATTTATCAGGTAATGAATACATACTTATCCATGGTATATTTTCAGTTGACTTATGTCTAAAGCAAAGACTAAAGCAAACATTTCCTCGCTACTTTTGAGCATTTTAACAAAAATTTGTCCATTCGAGCAAAAACAATACTTGCATCAAACTGTTTTCCAACAGTCAAACACACAGTACCACAGCTATAAATTACTTTTATCATGTTTATTGTCATTAGCTTATAGTAGTTTGGTCGCTGATTACGAAGTGATGTAAAGTTGCTAGGTGATTAGACTATGACGCTGTATTTTAGAACTTAGTCTTCATCAGCTGTGTATTGCGAGTTATGTGGAACAAAGCATTGTTATATCTCACTTCTGTGTCTTCATATAATCTCAACTTTACTGCGGGCGCTGCGCGCCCTTGCAAAATTTCCAATTGTGGCCTGATTTTGGTGCTAAATTCACATTAGTATAATAAAGAGCATACGCATACGCGTGTCAGCAATAAGGTACGCGCCTAGAATTGCCGTGAGATCAAAAAGTTTTGCCGTGAGATATAAAGTTTTGCCGTGAGATATTAAAGTTTTGCCGTGAGACATAAATGTTTTGCCGTAAGACAGAAAAGTTTTTCCGTGAGAGGTAAAAGTTTTGCCGTAAAAGATGAAAGATTTGTAGTTGTTAAAATAGTTTTACTGCAAGAAGAAACTTTTGCCGTGACACGTGTGGGCTACCGTACGCATGCGCATGGCTTCGCTTACTCATGGTCAGGGAATCAAAAATAATTTCCAAATCAAACGTCATTGGTACACTAATGTAGATCGAATAGCTGTTCTCAGTCTACATTTGTATTGGCAAAAATTGGCAAAGCAACCGAGGAGAAGCTAAGTTGAGAGAAAAATGGAAGAAGAAATTGTTCTTGTCACTGGAACATCCGCTGGTCTTGGTCTTTCGACTGTTCAGGTGCTTGCAAAGCAAACAGACAAGAAATTTAAAGTGTACGCATCAATGAGAAAGACGAGCAAGAGAGACGAATTGTTAGAGAAAACTGCTGGTTGTCGCAATGTTGTTGTAATCGAAATGGATGTTTGTTCAGAAGATTCTGTGAACGCTGCTGTAAAAGAAATTCTGGAGAAGGAGGGAAGAATCGATGTTGTTGGTACGATTTCAATTAATGTCATTTTGAATTTTAATTACTTGTCGGACCATTTGTGCCATTTTGATGTTAGATTTAATTTTACAAAGGAAATTTGTTTTTATTGCATTTATATGAGAATAATATTTTCACATGGGCGAGCAGCAAGTGCAAGGCATTATGGCACATTTTTAGTGCGGCACTGTGTTGTTGAACAAAATTAATATGTTGACGTGTGTCAAACCTTAACAACAGCATTATCTAAATGCAAATTTGTCAACTTTCAAACCACCAAAGCGTACAGCCATTTATACAGATGACTTTACAAGTATTTAAATTTGTTCAAATGTTTATACTATTTACCACGTGCCTCACTTTGTCACCTTTTGCAGTCTTATGTCTATTAAAATACGGGAATGAAAGGTTTGATTGATCTTAGACAATGTGAATAGACGACTTATCAGCCTTGGGATGTTCTGCCTGCCCGCTAAACATAAACAAGCTACGTCATTAATGAGGTCTAAGGTCACTGTCAGTGGATGAAATTACGATGAATGGCAGTAAAAGCTCTTTGCCTGTCATATATCCACCGTCGTATTTTTCATAGTTTTAGCAAGATTAAGTACATCATTCAATTTTGGTGGAGTTAAAAGTAATGAATAATATTTTGTTTTAGCAAATGGCCTTGTTTCCTTTCCCCCGCCCTTCCGCAGCAGTATATTAAATGATATTTACAAAGGAAATTTGTTTGATCGCATTCATATGACAAGAATATTTCACATGGGCAAAATGCAAGTGCGAGAAATGGCATTTTAGTGCGGCGCTGTGTTGTTGTACAAATGAAAATGGCAAAATGTGCCTAACCCAAACAACAGGATAATCTTTACGTAAATGCAAATTAGTCAAACTTAAAATCAGCAAAGCGTACTACGATTAATACAGATGACTTCGGGTGTAGATGGAAAACGGACGCGGACGGCGGACGTCTGTTTGTTGTGGGCGAGAATTGCCAATGATTTATTATAGGAGTTTGACAGTAACTTAAACGAGCTTTATCTTTCAGGATAAATTTTTTATGACCTCATTATTTAAAGCAATTAAACATGCATAGAGTGTAACACAATGAAACCTCATAGTTATATATAAACCATCTCAACACTTTTAAAGTGAAAAATTTAGCCATATTTGGCTTTTCAGACTTCACACAATCCAAATAGTTTTGTATTTTTTTCGTGTTTTTTTCAATGGCATTTCACTCGTGTTGGCCTTACTTAGTTGAGCCTGTTCATTTATACTGCACTTATAATGATTTCCGTCAACTTGTCATTTGGCAAAGCAGTACGTATATTGCAGTTTTCAACTTGAACTTCCTTTTGAAAGCTGAGATTTGAAGCCGTTGCAAGTTAGTTAGTGCGTCAGTTACAACTTAAAAGTATCTTTTAATCACATCGAATGCACATCATGTCCAAACGTTTGTACTTGGACATTGTAAAAATTGTTTATATGAATCGACTGATTCCAGCGAAGATGAAATTGGATGATGCGCACAGGTAACTAAATTTAATATAGGAGCACTGATATTTAGTAAGAAAATATATTAAAAGATTTTTATTCGTATTTTTTCATTTTATGTGACTTTGTAGAACAAACCTTGCAAAGTGGTTCCACACGAACCACCTTGTTCTGGTGCATTTATGTCAATTGATTCTGAGGTATTTCAGAACTGTGCGTTTCACAAACCTGTTCTGAAATTTCAGTCTATATTTTGTGACATATTTATAGACTAACGTGAAATATAAAGAATTAGTTGAAAGGAATCGTCCAAGGGAACAAATTGTGATTTCGAGTGATGATAATGAAGACAGTCTCTTTCAGGTGGATCAAAATGTGAAAGATCATTGTCTTGGCTTTTCTGAAAGCTATCTAATTTTCAAATTTTTTTTAATTTCTTTTCGTTTTTAATACAGACTTCGGTTAACATGCGCGGAATACAAGAACATATTGACAAACGGCAGAAATCTGACGCAGGTTCTAGCCGACAAGTCAAAATTGAGGTAAGAAGTACAAAAACTTGAAAATGACGAAAAGCAAGTTTTTCAAATATGGTAGTTGGAGTATTTTCCGAGTGCAGACGACGTGTTTTTCATGTTTGCTGTAGCTATATGCCATTTCTTCGACAACTTTTGATGAATATTAGCCAAACGCATTCAAAAAGCCTTTATGATATTCTCCGTCGTAATTCCGTATAACTAATCAAATTTAAAATTCTGTTTCACTGCATTGCTTTAGTCGTAGCAATATAACTACCGTTCGTATCGTTGCTAGGTAAGTTTTCCGTTAATATTTTTAAAGAGCAATATACAAGTTCTTTGTTTATTTGTTTGAATCTTTTTTTTTTGCAATGCGCGAGAAACGATAACGCTAGTGATTCATCTATAAAAATAAAGATTGACTCATGTTTTGCAAAATAACTACCGTTCGTATCAAAGGATGCAGGTAATTATTTCTAAAACATGGAATTACCACAGTGAATTAAAGTTAAAACGAATTGTATTAAAGAAATGTGAACCAGCAGAGAAGTGGGACCCTAAAAAATATTCTTATCTTATCTTTAAAAAGGAAATTACCTGTAGGACATTCTTTGCATAAGTGCATGCAAAGCTTTTACTTACTTATGGTTTCAATTAATACATATTTTCTTTATCGTATGATTTGACTCATTTGAGTAATATAAGATTGGCTTTTTTAAAATTGGAAAAGCAAAATTGATAAACTGCGTACATAGTACCGTTTGGACAAGAAAAATTGTCTTTTCCTGACACATGATATGCCTTTTCATGTATTATTGCCTTTTGTGATTCGTAGCTATACAAATTGAAATTAATTAATTTTTTACATTTTAAACAGGACGTTTCCGAAGAAGCTGTCCATGACGAAGATATCAGTGAAAGAAGTTCAATGAGCGAAAGTGATGAAGGGTATGAACGAATCTGCTTGAACACCTACGTTTCTCAATGCTCTAACGCTTTTTTCCCTACTATTTGTATAGAGTTTTTGATGGATACTACAAGGAAAATCTATCACTTCCGCAATTTATAAGTTGTAAAGAAGTCCTCTCGCCAGAAGAGAGAGTCAAAGTTTTACTTGTACCCCATCCTCCTGAGCGAGTATTGCTCGCATTTTTAAACGTTTTGGACCCAATTATTAAATGAGTTTACAAGATCCATATTTTACTGGCATTGATTTTTGACCATGACCAAGTTTAATTCTTCATTGGGGACACAACTTAGATTGTAATTTTTTATTTATTTTGCTTATAAATGCAAAATCACTTCCTTTTTTGCAACACACATGTAGAAAACAAAGCATTATTAATGGTTCAGTATATCTTCGACGGGAAGAACACGAAATTACGCCCAGTCCTCATAGTAACTCGCGGCAAAAACAAGCAGGTGGATATATTCGGACAAAACCAAGCATATAAAAAAGAGTAAAAGAAGTTGCTGAAACATCTGGACCTAAGGGAACCTTTCATCGTGTGAGCGAAGAAAGTGGTGGTTACTTAGGTGCCAGCGCAGCAAGTGACCTTCCCAGAAACAGAACGCAAGCCAAAAATTGCCGAGCCGTAACAAAGCAAATTACTAGTATTAAAAAAGTTGGCTATCTTGCTGCTCTTCTCCAGAAGTGCAAGAGGCAGCAATTAAGCAAAAGAAAAGATCCCTTTATTCGTGACGTATCAGCTGCTCCTGAACTCAGATGTGTTACGACGTATCGCAATTTGAAAGTTGTAACAAGAAGAGAAGGTCATTATCCTTTAATAATAGGGCCTCTTCTAATTAGCCAAACCAAAACAGCAGAATCGTATGATTGCTTCTTTGGGAAATTGACTTCCCTTAATAAAAACATAACAAAAATTCTTGCCATTGTGACAGATGGGAAAGAGGCTTTAAACAGCGCCATGAAGAACAGTAAGTGCTATGCATTTCATTTACGATGCTTTGGGCACCGTAAACTGCGAAAACTGTAAATTACAGCTGAGAAAATCAAATGTGTCAGACACAGCACAAAATACTTTTCTTGATGACATATTTGGAAAAAGATCAGGGGAAATTTATGAGAAGGGTATGTTTGCAAAAACCTATTAGTAAAGTGCCACGTGTTTATACGTTGCACATTTTAAAATTTCTTTTAGTCTTACTAGACTCCCTCAATGAAAGTGAATTTCTCTCCAATCTCAATGCGCTGAAAGAGATATGGGTTGAAAGAGAACGTTCTTTTTTAGTGCAAATGAAGAGCCATCTTTCTTCAAATTTATAAGTGAGAAAGTATTTATATCCTAAAAAATAGAATTTTGTACAATTTATTCCATGAGTTTCCTTTTCAAGAAACCTTTGTGTATATAGTGACTGAACAGTTTATTCTTCTTAAATTTACATTTCAAATAAATTTTCTAATAGACGCAGAAAGTATGCTGACTGAAGTTCGAAGGTATTGTGGAATGGGAGATCCACCCACACCATTCTACACAAATGTACCCGAATCTGCCATAAGAGCAGTGAACTTTCAAGAAAATGACATGTCAACATTTGCGATAAAAATGCGACAACTGATCAAGCAACAACGTGAAGATGTAAGAGGTGCTTTACTTAATAGCGGTCCCTACAGGCTAATCGAGAAGCATTTTCATCTTCAACTCACAAAACAACAATGGTTTGCTAATAGCGCTGCCCAACGTAAGACTCACGAAAGAAAACTGGACCAGACCTTTTGCGTAGAGGATGAGCAGACTAAGATGACGAATCTCTTTCTCTATCCTTATCACTAACACCCGAGGACGCTAACCTATCGAGTGAACCAGTCCAAACTGTGGAAAGAGTTTTCAGAAAAGCTCAGAAAGTGTTAATGCAGGATGGAGCTATCGTTTCAGCCCCAGCAGGAAACAGTAAATCTTTTCTTGTTTTAAGCGAAACATCACGAAGACCTCACTATGTATTCATTGAAAATAGTGGGAAAATTATTTGCGAAAAATATCTTAGATGGGCCTCTGCACACTTTTGCAAACATGCTACTGCAATAGCAGAAAAAAACAAAAAGCCTAAAAGACTATGTTGAACGGCTAGAACGTAAACAAAATCTCACTGACCTTACAACTCTTGTCAACTTTGACTCCAGTAAAAGTGTTGGACAAAAGGGAAATAAGCCAGCAACCAAGCGAAGAAAGGGATGTAGAAAAAAGAAAGACAATGATGTGATAATGATTGTCGATCGAATAAATCAGAGTAATTTGCAATCACAGCAACATCAGGTTCTTATTTATTATTTTGCTGATCTCTGATGTCTTTTAAGTTTGACTTAAATGCAGTGCAAACAAAAAGGTCACCTCAAAATTAAGTTTTAAGTAAATATTGTTGAAAAATATGAACGTATAACATTAAATATACAATTTCAAACGCTTCACATAGTTGGGTGCATTGCCTAATCCTTTCTGCATAATTAAGTCTTTCAAAATTTAGTCGTAAATATCATCGTACAATCATTAAAATCAGAGCTGCACGGATCTTCCACTATTTGCCTATACCTATGACAGACTTGTTATTAGAACATGTATGGCGTAAATACAATGGCAATATTGCGATGTCTAAAATAAATAGCTTTTTCACTAGTCTGAGACCGAAGCAAAAAAAGCAGAAAGGATATTAGTTGTGAGTTCAACAAGTACAACTACAAAAGTCAAAATGCCACGCCCCTACAAAGACATTTTTGTTATTCCGCTCCCCTTCTTAATGCCAAACGTCTTTCAATGCGTCACTGTTTTATACTACTCTTTGACAAAGTCCTTTAAAATGTTTGCTAAGTCATAAATACTTTACAATGTGTTGGCGTCCTAGACCCAAAAAAACGGAACTTGCACAAATAATGACGTATGAAAATGAAATCTGCATAAGTTGTCCATGTTCTTTGCACCTTATGGAAAATATGAATCATTGTTTTGCCCATACTAAGGTCTTGCGTGATAAAATTTAGATAAAAATCAGTGTATGACCATAATTTTAAGTTTAAACTTGTTTTTCATTAACTAGTACTTTATAAGTTCTAATAAATCCCAGAGGCCCAGAACTGTCAAGTTCATTGAACAAGTTTGAATCCTAGTTTCGTTGTTTTGCATAATAACTTTAGCGAATACAATTACTTATTTATGTGGGCTCCGCTATTTTGGGACATTGTATTGAATACATTATTTACTCTTTTTAATAAGATATAGAGTCTATTGAGATCATTATCAGTTCTGCAGGGTGTATAAAAAAATGTAAACAGTCAGTTGTTTTCAATTCTCGCGCTCTGTTGAAGTTAGCAACGAAAAACGTTGCAAAATTCGTCAGAGCGCAAGAATTGAAAAAAATTGTGGGGAATAAATAAGTAGACTTCTGATGGTTCATAGTACATTAAATTACATAGTTCATACATAGTGACAGTAAATTTTCGAAAATAATAACAATTATTAAGATGCAATTTACAATACCAAGTACTTTTCATGCAGTTTGTGCAAAAAATCAACGTAGCAAAAAAATCAATGGAAAACACGGGGTTGAAATATGACATATGTTGCTCAAACTTTAAACGTTTCAGTAGGTTTTGCTTCTGCCAAATTACAAATCAATTTGTCATGTGTTGAAAAAAATGGTAAAGCACACTCCAAAAAATATCACCTTGTAAACTCAAGAACTGAGTTATGTTTTTGTGTTTATTTTATCATTTATTTCATACAATTGAGCGTTAGTTGTTTTAGAGTCCGATGAGTGGGCGAGGCATGTAGTAGTAAAACTTGAACTTTGGTCTGTAAGAAAGCGATTTTACAAGAGATCGAAGTCTAAAAACTAAGAAATATAGACATTACATAATCAAACTCATGTCCCTGACATTTTTTCTTCAAATTTCAAAGTTCCTGCATAATGCCATTGAATGGTTTTGTTAAATTTGTTGACATTATTGTCAAATGTGTTCAATTTTAAATGATATATTATCATCATAATACTCCATATTTAGTGAACAACGCTGGTATTGGTTGGTCTGGTATACTCGAAGTGCAGCCTTGGGAAAGTATCACAAGCATCTATGATACGAACGTCTATGGCGTACTGCGCGTCATACGTGCTGTTGTCCCGTCTATGAAGAAAAACAGAAAAGGGCGCATCATTAACATCAGCTCAGTTGCTGGATTACATAACAATCCGTTCATGACTGTGTATGGCTCAACAAACTGTGCTGTAGAAGGAATTACGGATTCTTTGGCGCCTGAGCTTGCATCGTTTAATGTTCAGTAAGTAACTATCTATCAGTAGAGAGCTACATGTTTTGTACAAAAAGTTATTAAAATGACATTCACGTTTCATGCCCTCTCAGATATGGCACTATTCTACAATGAAAAAGTGTCGTCTGTGTGTTTGTGTGTGCAGAGGAAGTGATATCATATAACTGAATATGTGAAATTTTAATATTTTTAGTGACGATAGTCAAAACTTAGCAGCTGAAGATATAATTTAATAAATGCTTTACTGGTGACGTCAAATATATCTCGTTTTGGCGAAAAATACAAGGAGCTTGATACACTGTGCAGTGTAGACAAATAAGATATAATATTTATTTAAGAAAATCATTTCCATTTAAAATGGCGAGAACTTATCTTTCTAACGTTGAAATTTATAAGATTTTATGAGTACATTGCTACTAAATTTTTTTGCAAGCTTCCTCTGCACAATACAAGCACCTGAAAAGAGGAACTCATAACATGCACTGAGAGTACGGAGAGCAATAAAAAAACGAAAGACAATTACTGGGCATTTTTTTAAGCATTGAGCACCGAGAATGTTTTGTACCAAACACGGTCGTGAAAAGACATTGGCGGCATATTTAAACAACACATTGTTATAAAATCCAATCCGTAAAATACTGAAATGCGATATCTGACAATTGCAAAATCTTTTAAGTTGAATGCTGTGTTTGTTGAAGCTGAAAAATATCTTTGACGAGTTGACAAAAGTTTGTTCAATCTACGTATAAATCGCGTGGAAATAAGCTCTTCATCATTTTTATGGGCTTATTCATAGATCCATATGTTATAATCCGTAAACACAATACATTTCAAATGAAATTAATAAAGTAAAACATGCATTTATGAATAATACCCTCCCCAATTATCATTGTTCCGCCTTCCTTGAACCAGGTTGTCCCTTGCGTCATATGAAATAATTTATTTAAGGAACATTTTAGTCATATTTTACATGGGATAAGTCTTATCATGTTGGAACGCACAAAATCCGATATATTTTATATGCTTTCATTTCTAAAGATTATGCACACACCAAGGTATGATGATCCTTCGTTATTAAATATTGCATTGTGTCTTTAAGTAACTATATAACTTATAAGAGAGAGGGTACCTTTGTTAGTCCACCGATTATATTTTTAACACACGATTGCA